CCCGTTGATAATCCCATTGCTTCAGAGAAGGCAACTGCGTCATCGAGTGACATGACCCGGCAGTGGAGAATGATATGGATCTTTCACGCCTGGCCTTGAGCTATGATCAGTACGTAACGTCTTTAAATACAGTCAAAAGCTGCAATTTGATGACTCGAAAGGAAGAGAGTCAACCGAAAAGTACAAGTGTTGATGCAAAGCTCCGCGAACTCCCTATATCAATGCTTCAGATCCAACTGGAAGCTTTTCCAGTTCAATCGGCCCCTTGGTCCGTAATATGGATGCCACCCCTTTTCATATAGTTTTTCACGAATCTCCCCGATTCTCTCCATTCGCTCTTCCTGAGTCATTGCCTCCCACTCCGCCGCTTCTTCCTTCGTTTCCTCCTCTTCCTCATCCTCATCCTCCTCTTCATCCTCCTCCTGCACTTCCCAAAGGCCACGGAGAACTAGATCCAGCCCCCCTGCCTTCCGATCCAAGAGCACTTCGGGTGACCGACGCGGCCATGCGCCCGACTCGTCAGCCCGCCCTATCGTCTTCAAGACGTCACAGGGATCACGTTCAACCGTCCAACCCGTGTTCCATGGCTCGTGGTACTCCCAAAGCCGTTGATACATGATCTCGAAGGCGCGGGCGCCGTCAGTCGACACCTTCAAGCTTTGCAGCCGGGACGGGTTCCTAAGCCCAGCAGCTCTTGACACGACATCAAATATGGACCGTACCAACGTCTCGTCAACTGCGATATTGATGAAATAGTCTCTTATCAACTCCTTTTTGTACGGAGTGTACACGCTTTCCGAATCGTCGAAATCTTCGTTGTTCTCGATGCAAGGGGGAAGGCAAGATCGTTCTTCAAGCCTCCCAACGAGTGTCTCGTCCTCATCGTTGGGGGTTTCGGAGTATTCATCGTCAGTGTCTCCGCGATCGTCGACTTCGGAGTCGGAGATGTGGTGTGTGCCATAGCCAGACGAAGCGTCAGAGTCTCCACCATAGGCATTGGCAGAATGTTTCCATCGCTCAAGGTAAGGATCGTTGTAAAGACCTAGCCTTTCGCCCACTCGGCGCGTGATCTTTGGCCTCACCACTTTCAGCCTAATTCGCAATCTGCGGAGCTTGAGGAACTTTCCCAGAGCCCTGTACAAGGCAACCTCGGTCGCATCCCCCTTGGTGCGAGCAATTGTCAGGGCCAAATCTTCAATGTGTGGACTTTCGGCGAGAATCTGCTGCACATTGCCGATATCAAGCGGCTCAGCAGTGCCCTTCATCAGGTCTAATGTCTGTAAGGTATGGCCCAAGCCAGTAGGAAGTCGGTAGAGAGGGCTTTCGCCATCTATTCTCAGAGTGCGCAACTGCGACGAGAGTCCTCGAAGGAAGCCTTCCATTGCTCGTTGATATGGTCTGATCTCGCTAACCGTTCGTTCGACCCTCAGGTCAAGGCATGTCAATTTCTGGAAGTTGCAAGTCGCCAGGAGTCGGAATGCTTCCATAGTCACTCCAGCACAGAGGGAGAGATTCTGTAGCTGGGCGAAATCGGTACGCCTACTCCATGTCTCGAGCGGGCCACGCAACAACCATGAATCCTCTGAATCCTTCCCATGCTTGATGCGCAGTGAAGACAAAGAACCTGCGGTCTCCTTCACTTCATTCTCATGAAGATGTTGAAAAGGGCCCAAAAACACCGACGGAGTGAAACCGGATTGTGAGAACAGCATGCTCACCTCCTTTAAGTTGGGCGAGATTCTGGTCAAGAGACCTAACACCGTCGCGTTGGCTGCTCTCCTTCCTGATCCGGGATGCGTGTCCTCTGTGTCGTCTTTGAGTTCACTTTGCCCATACCAGCATCGAACACCGTATAGACAAGGAGAGGTGGCCAGCTCCAAGTCAGCATCGTCGAGGCATTTGGCGCTGCGGAACGACTCTTCGGAACTGTGCAGACGAAAGTTGCGTATCCAAAGTCTGCACGTGGTCGGCCTTTCGTGCAGAGCTTTCAGCAGCCACCGCGGAAACGGGGCGGAACATCCGAATTGAACGTCCGTCAAAACCGACATCTTACGGACGAGAGCGACCAGTGGAGCCCAGAGATGTTCAACATCAAGCCCGATATTATGAGCCTTGGCAAGACAATGTAAGTTTTCGCGGTTTCTTTTCGGATACGAAAGATACCCGTCGAAATCGGCTCTGTTTTTGCGCTTTTCATACTCGTTTAGGGCGGTTGCTGCCATATCTCACGAAGTTTATATTCTTCCGTGGGATAGTCGAGTACGTCGTCAACGACGAGGCGACGCACTGAACTCAAGGTTCCGTCGCGATGGAGGGCATCAGAGCATAATTGAACATCGCGATGGAACATGGCGACTTGTATCTCCGGCTTCACCCCATACCTGTGGTCGAAGTCTTGCCTCTGAAAAACTCTGAATTTAATAGTGCGAACCAGGATGTGCTTAGCTGCCGCATGGCACGCCTTGCAGGCCAAGGCAAAAGCCACAACGGGAGCGACATTGTCGTCCTCATGAATGTATTCGCAAATCTGGTCCAAAACTTCGATCGGGAGAGTTTTGAGACTGGCGCGTGGCCGTTGCTGGGTTGCCACTTGGGATGCCGACCTGTTTGCTACAGGGCGAGTGAAGTACTGGTCAAGAGTCGTTTGGTACCTGACCCTCTTGGCTTGGGAGCGTGCGGGCGCAACATCGCGTTCTTCTGGGTTTGCGGTTCGTTTCATGGCGTGTCGAGAACCCGTTCTGCGATGAATAGAAGATCACCGGGCTGAGTGTCAACCGTGGAAACTGTGACGGTCGGAGGCTTCCATTTTATTGCGGCTCCACTGCTTCACAGGGGCCATATGTGTTGTTGGGGGGACAAGAACTTAGATTAGCTATTTCTTTATGCACACTTATGCAAGTAAAACCTATGCATGACCTTGCTCATTAGTCGACCCTGTATATGGACGCAATTAAACCCTGTTAAATCATCATTTCGGCCGCAAGTGACTGGGTGAAGTTGTGGAAATCCTCACGAATATCATATTCAAGTTGTCTTGATGATTGTCGTTGGTCAAAAAACCACGGACGGTCGGACTTGTTTCCCGCGCTCAAGCAACCGCACCCGGAGAGTAAAGGTGCCGACTCAGCGACGTGGCCGTTCTCGGCGGTCCCGTGTGCACAGTAAAATCCCTCGCTGGTCAACGTTATGAACTACATCGGTTAAAGATCGGATAATTTCAGCACTTGTCGTTTGGCAGGATAGAAGATACTGCATAGTGTTTTCAACCTTGGAACAATTGGGGCTAATCCCCCCACTTACTCTCAATTAGCCCCCCGCGATAACAGACCCGCGGGAAAGTCACCAAAGGTATTTAAGTCCTGAAGCCCGAGGCATTGTACTAGTTCGCCAGAGTATCGCGAAAAAGGCCGCAAACACAAGCACAATGGACTTTGGATTGGAAAACCACCGCACTTTCATTGGCAAAAAGGTGTCAGACCTGCCGTCACCATCATTGGTGCTCAGCCTCCCGGTCATCAAGAGAAATGTGGACAAGCTGCATCAAGATGTCGAGAAGGCAGGGGTTACTTTCAGACCTCACGTAAAGACGCTCAAGGTAAGTCTTGGACATTCTTAACGAAAATTTGAGGTTTTCTGACCATTCTCAGAGCACTGAAGTAACGAGATTGATGTTGGGAGACGGTAAATTCAACAAGACAGTCGCATCGACACTATCAGAAATCAGGGGTCTGCTGCCGCTGGCGAAAGAGGGAATTTTGGAGGAGGTGCTCTATGGACTCCCCGTCAGCTCAGGCGTCATCCCCATGTTGAGCGAGTACAGGAAATCTGTCAAGATCCTCCTCATGATCGACCACGATAAGCAGATCGATCTGCTGGAAGAATTCGCAAAGAAAACCGCTGACGCACCGGCACCATGGGACATTTTCATCAAGCTTGACGTCGGCAGTAAGCGTGCGGGCGTTCCTCTCAGCAGTGAGCGTCTCCAGAAGCTCATTCAAAGGGCAAACGAGTCTTCGGTTGTGTCACTTTACGGTTTTTACTGCCATGCCGGCCACTCGTATGGATGCAAGACGCAAGAGGAGGCGGCGGGTGTTTTGGCTGATGAGGTCAATGGAGTCATCAGCGCAGCGAAGTTGATCGTCGGGGAACAGAAACTGACTCTATCCGTGGGCGCCACACCAACGGCGCATGTTGTCGGTACTCTCCAGACCGCCATCCCGTCTAACGTGACTCTGGAGTTGCATGCTGGTGAGCCCCTTGCCATGTTTCCCAAGCGGGAAATAGCTACTGACATTCAACAATAGGAAACTTCCCTACGAATGACCTCCAGCAAGTTGCCACCGGTCTGGTGTCAATTGAGGACCAAGCCGTCAGGATAACGGCAGAGGTCTGCAGCGTGTATCCGGAGCGTAACGAGGCCCTCATCAACGCCGGCACGGTCGCTCTCTCCAAGGAGGCGGGTGCGTTCCCTGGGTTCGGCAACCCGGTAGGCAAGCCTGGTTGGGCTGTCGTGCGCATGTCTCAGGAGCACGGCATCATTGGCGAGGTCCAGGCCCCCGGGTCCAAGAACGCTGAGCCGGAGTGCCGGGACATAGAAGCCAACTTTGAGATTGGCGAGAAGTTGACGCTTTATGTCCAGCACTCTTGCATTACCGCGGCGGCGTTCCACGTTTACTACGTTGTTGACGAGAATGATGTGGTGCAGGATACCTGGGTACCCTGGAAGGGTTGGTAGACGATCAAAATTGTTTTCCGGAATATAGAATAATAGCAGAAACCATGTTCAACAATCATCCACATTGTAAAGATGAGACGTTCAAGCAAGGTTCTTTAACTAATGGTATCTATCCTGCGTTGCCTCCGAGTCCTAATGCCTTAACCCAACAATGCTTTCCAACGCCCGTCACAACCCCATTCAAGCAAACGAAATCCATATTTGGTGCTCATTCATCACGCGACAAACACTCCACGGCCCGGACCTCATAGGCGCAGAATCCTCTTCATCCCAAATATGCTGGAGCAATACAGAGGTTTGCCGGATGTTTCCTAGACCAATCGACGCAAAAGTATGCCCCAGTCTTTCCCTCAAAAATGTTCTTTGCCCCTCATCAACCACGCAGGACCCAATGACAGCAATTGGCCAACAGAGACTAGTGTTTACCCTCACAGTTGGATCCAGCTGCGCCAGATGTGATAACGCCTCCGCCAGCGCCGTTTGGGTAGACACAGCCATGATCCCATTCTCATCCCCAGACAGAGGGTGAAGGGCCGTGTAGAGATACAGCGTCACAGCTTTGTGGTACACGTATCCGGCCAGCGCAACGTCTGGGCTGACCGCCGGGTTCGGGGTCCACGCCTGTACTTGGCTTTGTAGTTGGGCGAAAAGCATGAATTCATCTGCCGAAGGGCGCCAGCCTGGGGTGCCGGAACGGGTTTGTACTCGGCGGGCGAGGTCAAATATTGGAGGGATCAGAAGGATTAGGTTCAGCCAGGTGCCACACAAGTTGCCGACATAGGATTCCGCTACGAGCTCAGTCGCCAAGAGGGCCATGTCGTTGTCCAGGAAGTATTGGTCACTGATCCGAGCGTCTATCGAGATCATGCTGAGCGTGGCTGTGTATACGTAGTATTCGACAAGAAACTGTCTCATGGACTTTGGAAGGGAGATGAGGAGGGGGAGTGAGGGTACGATGAGCGACTTCGCTGCGATGAGATGGTCGTAAGTCGTGCCGTTGATATCGCCTTTAGCTGTCTATTCCGGCTATCAGAAACCATCCGGACTCGATGAAACATGTCATGGTAGCAAAGGGAGAGCAGCTGGGAGGTACTTACCTCGATGAAACATAGAATCAGGGCAGCTATGCCCAGTAATAGTGTCTGTTCCCTGGATTGCTCGCCCATGAACTTGGAGAGGTTCTGCTGGAATAATCGTAGCGACCGATCATAGTATGTGTTGGCGACACTGTCGAAGTCATTCAGAGATTTTGCGGCCCGATGGACCGCGCTCTGTGCTAGAAGTAGCTGCAAGACGAGGTCGCTCTTGAACGCCATTGGTATCAGCTGCTCGCTGAAGGGATTCTGTACCGTGGAACCGTTGGCCATACTGATTGTCGTAGCAGCCAGGTAATGGCTCAGCAGCTCCATTGAGAAGCTATCATTAGTTCCAGGCAGGAATGATAGAGTCCTTGGAACTTGCGTCACTGGACTCGCCGCAGCTCTCACAGGCGAAGCCGTCACTAGGCTCGTCGGAACCTCCGGGGTTTCTTCATCTTGGCGACTACTCCCAGGGACGGCTGGAGTAGGGAAGGAGAGGAAGTCTAGTGATGCCAAGAAGTCGAGATGGTTCTCTGGAGATGGTTGCGGATCATTCGGGCTTGTTGCTGACGCTCGCGTTGGTGGCCGTGGACTCGATCCCGTCGACGCGCCGCTCGGTGACTCTGACGATTGAGATGGCGATGTGTTCTGGCCCATTGGCGAAGAGTGTGAGGGTTGATTGCTTTGGCGAGGCGGAGACTCCTGCATGCTGGGAGACGCCTCTGACTGGGCAGAAGCGCCGGCAGATTCGCCGCCCTCTTGCCGCGCGGTCTCCGATGCGCCGGCCGGCTTCGGCGGGGCGGTCTTGGGGGCTGCAGACGGGGGCCATTTGCACTCGAGCCGGTTGCGTTCGCAGCCGCGGCACCGCGGCTTCGTCTCATCGCACTTCTTCTTGCGGCCGCGGCACGTCAGACATCCCGTGCGGACGCGGAAGATGGGCCCAGCGAGGGTACGGCGGGGTTTTGATGAGTTCATGGGATCGGATCAGCATCGGGCAGGGCGCGCGTTGCGGCGCCCAGGCTCTTTGTTTGAGACCAGAAAAGTTCGATAGAGTCTGGGCCTGATAGCGAGATGACCCAGAGTATGTGATGAGGTGATGTGTTGAGGCGATATCCAGCTCCCCAATTGGCGACATGAAGTTGAACGAGGAGCTGTTTTGCATGGGCCTGATAAGGAAAGATTGCGGGGGTCGTTGGAGCGCGGTCCGTCGCATTCACGAAGACCCGCTGGCCCGCTTTTGGGCCGGAGCCATCGCGGTAAAGGTTCGGATTGGTCGGAACGATGCCACGCTACCCCAACAGGGACATCCCGACGAGAGATCAGAGGGATGACTTGTGTTGCATTGGAGGTTTGGAACCACGAAAAGGAGACTTGGCCCAGGCGAGACTGATGCCAAGGTTGAAGTGCGGAGAGATGTGCTTCCCCCAGTTGATCCACTTGGAAGACCAAGGGCGAAGATGTAATCTGCCCCATATGCTGATCGTTTATCCATAGACGTGCTGCCATTCCTCGGTTTGGTGAGCGGCATAAGATAATGTCCGAAAGTTCGCAAGCGTGGCACCTCGATCCTGTAAGTGCATACGGCTACAGGTTTGAGGACTAACAAGGAACCAGTGCATATGTGGTTCTATGATGTCCTATGAGAAGTACTTTCTGTCCTAGGGAAGGCAGAGTACGAAGCTGTACAGGACTAGTAACCACTCCGCAATCGTTCTGGAGAAGCTGAACAGCAGGATGGCAAAATTCTCACCACTCTGGGAAGTATCCCGTCGGGAAAGAACCGGCAGTTCTCGTACCGAAGCCTGTCTAGTCAGAGACAATCGCAAATACACACAGCGCACAAAGTCGCTTACCGACAAGCAATTATTATTCTCCAGCTGGAACGACAGACTCTCGTACGCTGAACCAGTCAATACTGAGTGGTATCAACGAACCCGGTCAAACTGACGATGGCAGAAATCAATTAAGGCACACTAAAATCATGTGGAAGTGTCCCAGTGAAGTACCGCGCTGTCAATCGTACGACACCAAGGTGACATGGAAATCAGCTACTCCAGATGGCGTCGCTATCACCACCAGTAAAAGCCTCGATGCTACACTACACTTCTTGCGAATTACTAGGTGTGGGGGTCATTTGCAAGAATCAGCGCACCGTCAATATCTTTTCCTTGCGGCCGAGACATGTGGGCTTCTAGTTGCCGCTAGTAATAGCCAATAGTGCGACTCCCCACTACCCGTCGTACAAAGCCACTTTCTGGCAAGGTGCTGAGGGATCGCGAAAGGCCGGGAGCGTTAGGTGGCGACCGACTTCAGCAAATCCAAAAACACGCGGTGGTTGCGATTGAACCTGAATGGTTCTTGGAGTCCAGCGTCTCAGCCACTGGTAAAGGAAATGGGGTGACCTGACCTCGGGAAAGGTGTCTCAACGTTGCACAGGCTGTTTCCAATCTGGAAAAGTGTGCTAACTTGATTCTCAGGAGTTTTGCTTGGTACACTATCACAATTCTGGGTCCTACTCTAGTGAATAGCATGCTTCGTCGCACGCAGAATGTACGGGCTCATATGAAGCTGTCTAGACCAGCTGTCAGCAGGTTCCGAGACATTTGCTCACCGTGGCGTGCGCAGCTATTTCGTGGCTCATATTGCCCGACTAGGTCCAAATGCAAGCGTCTTCTTCGTAGTCATGCCTGGTGATCACAGACACGAAGCGAGAGTGGCCACAATATTCACTTTGCGATGCTTGCGGCGGCTTTGAGAGCCACAACTTCGTAGCAACCCTCAACCGTGTTTTTAGCACAGATAGATACTTGTGTAGACATATAAATCTTCGTGAGTGTTGGTCATGATAACTTGCAACGCTTCAAGTATTGATCTATAGATAATCTTTCACGTCTGACCTGAAATCGCAATACCTAAGTATTTACCAATATCAAATTGGCTTCAACCATGTCTCTCCACGTCTTTGGGTCCAACACCTTCTCTGGAAGCAATGGACTTCTTTCCAATGTCTCAGGAATCCGCCGCCAGCAGGTTTCCCGGCTCAATGCCTACGTTCGAGGCAAACGAGCCAGTCCTAAACAAGCCCGGGCCTTGCGCAAGGCTCAGTATAAGGAGAAATTGGCAATGTCTAACATGCCCAAGGGTTCGTTTGATTTCCCGCTCTTAGTCACAGTCTTCTGACACCTAGTTCCGCAGATGTTCGGACCTCTTTGGCTGCCAATCCACTCCAACTGGGTGCCCCACGGTGTTTCAAAGTTCTTCTCGCCGGCAAAGACGTTGTCGTCGACGCCAAGTTGCACGACAAGTCTCGGTTTGTTGACGAGGGTCATCATATTCACTTTGCACAATTCGGAATCCCTGGAAAAGGCGTTCGGCTGAACCAGTATGTACATCCTGAGTGTTTGCCTACACGAAAATCGAAACTGATGGTCGTTCCATAGCGAATGGATCAACCCGGATCACATAACAGTCTCTGCGAACCATCGCGTATACACTCTGAAGACTCAAGACGGTGACGGCAACCCATTTAACATGCACATCGACTTTACTCAGCTGTCTCGCCCCGTTGGTCATATCGAGACAGCTGACGGATACCTTGCCATGACTCTCGAACCCTACGCACTTTCATTCAATGTCAATGTTTCTGCAAATGCCGGAGCTGGTTATGACAGTGCTACGAACACCTTAACCTGGGATGAGAACAGTACTCAGTGGAAAGCAGCCAACTGGGAGCAGAACAGCATGATCTTCTCATACGACACTGTCGCGGTTAAAAGTCCTTTCGGATCTCCTATACTGATTAACGAGGTTTCTTGTGAGGACACCAAAAACAGCGAGGTATCTCAATTCACTGCTTCTCAGTACCCATTGGAGTATGTGTCAATTTTCCAAGATATCAACAGGAATGGGAAAACGATGCCGGCGTGCGTCACAACAATCAAGCCCGCCTTCGTCATGTCTCCTCCAACAGTCAGAACCTCAGATACCATCAAGTCTGTATTTCCTCAGGACTCCATTTTCCAATTTGATGAGTTGGGTGTCAACTTTACCGGCGCATACCGAATCACCCAAGATGGCAGTACCCCTCCCGTATATGCTGTGGTGGGCACTGGCGTCATGCCAGTCAACCAGGTCACTACACCCGAGGCTACCAACAAGTCAAGATCTCTCTTTGAAACCAAGATTATACCTTATCCCCGCATCTTTTCCATGTCTAGGAACGATATTTCGTCTTCGCTGCCAATTACAGGCCTTCTAAACAACGACCCCATGAGCCCGAGCACTACCGATCCCACGGGATACGTGGATACTGTTTCGCAAACCGCCAACCAGGATTTCCACGACATTGTATGCTACTACATGGATCCTGATATTCATACCACATTCATTTCGGCGACCCCAACTGTTCTGTCTGACTCGACCGTTCAGGCGATCGCCACTGACAGCCCCGACAATGCTGCCTTCACCGAAAATGAGGTTATCCAGGCGCTTAACGACATCAAAAATCGTATATCTACTCGCACTGCCTCCAAGCGATGGGGTGTGCCACGATCAACGCTTATAAGCCGTACCAAAGGCCACCAACCAAGGCAAGAAGCATTTCAAGACCTCCAGAGGCTCTCTGCTGGCCAGGAGGCCAGCCTGGCCACTTGGGTGACTGCCCAGGCAGACCTTGGGCTGCCACCAACCCATCAACAACTGAAGGACTTCGCCCATCGCATCCTCCAAGCTATAGGGGACACCCAACCTCTTGGCAAGAGGTGGGTAGATGGCTTTATAAGAAGAAACCTATCTATCAAGGTCCAGAGAAGTCGATCTATTGATTCGAGGCGTGTTAATGGGGCATCTACTGAGGTTATCAGGGACTGGTTCAAATATCTCGCCCTACCTCACATCCAGGCCATCAAACCAGCCAACAGATATAATATGGATGAGACTGGTATCCTTGAGGGTAAAGGGGATAATAGGCTAGTGCTAGGCAGTGCTGCGACTAAGTCAGTAAGGAAGAAGCAGCCTGGTTCGCGAGCCTGGGTATCTATTATTGAGTGTATATCAGCTGGGGGCGCTGCTATCCATCCCTTGGTTATATATAAGGGCAAGACAGTTCAACAGCAGTGGTTTCCTCTAGAACTTGGCCCATATGATGGATGGGAGTTCACATCAACAGAGAATGGGTGGACTACTGATGCTACTGCTGTTGAATGGTTAGAAAGGGTCTTTATCCCCCAAACCAAGCCCTCTAGCCCTAACCAAGCTAGACTCCTTATCCTAGATAGCCATAGGAGCCATACGACGACAGATTTTATGTGGTTATGCTATACCAATAACATCTATCTGTTATTCTTGCCTCCACATACCTCCTATGTCCTCCAGCCACTTGACCAGTCAGTCTTCAGCCCTGTCAAGGCAGCATATAGGAAAGAGCTGGGATATCTTAGTCAGTGGATCGACTCTACTGTTATAGGCAAAAGGAACTTCATTTCCTGCTATCAAAAGGCTCGCCTAGCTGGGCTGACTGCAGGCAATATCAAGAGTGGCTGGAAATACACTGGGTTATGGCCTGTTGCTATTGCAAAGCCGCTTATGAATGGGCTGCTGGTTCAGAAGGCAACATCATCAACAACAACACCATCAACACCAATCAACAAGGTTGCCAGAGATAAACATATAGCCCAGGATGCCCATGGTATAGAGGGCTGGGCGTCAGCCTCATCTGCTGTGAAGTGGTCTACGCCAAGGAAGGTGAAGGACCTAGGGGACCAACTACATATATTCGGCCAACTAGAACAAAACATCGCCACACAACGCCAGCTCTTCAGGAAGGTAGAAAAGGCTTCCAAGAGCAGTCCTTTGCCCTAGCTACCGCCCAGCAAAAAATAGAGCTTCTAGAGGCCAAGGTTGCCAACACTGCTAGCAGGAAGAGGAAGGCTGTTCAGTTGGACCCAAATACGAAGTTTGCGACAATCAAAGAGATACGGCAAGCCCAGATTGAGGCTGGCGAAGCTGAAAATGATTCAGATGAATCCAGCGCATCTGAATTACCCAGTGAGGCCGAAAGTTGCATTATTGTGGCTTCAAGAGGTAGTTGATAATTAATTGAATAAAGTGGTGGTGGTTGCGATGGCGTCAATTCATGGCGGTCGAAAAGCAGGGGTGGTCGAAAAGTGGGTGCTTTGACTTAATGGACACGGCTGAAGCAATCAGCAGTGCTTTGGGATGGCGTTTACAGTGTCATCTCGAGAATGGGTGGCAATTCCTTCCATCATCCGCCGGCAGCGAGAATCGGCGGATGATACTGTGTCTGTCGACGCACCATCTGACCTTGGTGCAAATTCCGCTTCTTCAAATTCCTGCGTGTTTGGAAAACGCGGCAAGGGCAGCGATCACGACTTTAAGACGGATCCTTCTTCGGAGTTCGAATCTTTCCGCCACGATTTCGATTCTCACGTTCGACCACAAATCCGTATTAACGGTAAGAAACTTGAAATGTCGCAGCGCTGGATCGAATGTGCACCACCTTCATTCGACAATTCCTGTCGTGGACCTGAAAGGCAACGAACAATCCACGGCTTGGACCCATCGATGTAAGATCAGCCTTTCCATGGATGAAGGCTCTGTAGTTCTAGAGGCTGAAGGTGGAGTCGTTCCAGATGTACCTGCTATGTGGCCACTGTATCTCCGCCGCTCTGAAAGCAATCGGATGACCGAAATGATGACACAGTGGCACGTGGGATGGATCTCTGTCACTGGGGCCATTGTTCCAGAAACTTCCTTAGGTAGTGCGTGCACCTGGGCACTCAATACTGAGATTTACGCAGAGAGACTAGGTGGATTGATTGGCAAAGACTTGATGGAGACTGTGCTTGGGGCGAACGTAGTCTAAAGTTCGCTTCTGAGTATCTGGTTTGATATCCCTGGGCTAGGACTATTGACTTTGTTTGATCCCATGCCCTGCTTAAAAAGCTTTTGGAGAGATGACGATGAAGTTTATGCTTGAAACTCCAGATTTCTTAGAAACGTCAGTCTACCAAAACCAAATCTTTGATATTTGGGATTAACTCACGAGGGAGCTGAAACTCCATTCAGTTGAGCTTCCGCAACATCAATGATGGATTAGTGATCCTGAGGGAGAATGAGGCGGCCCGCTCCGTGAGTGTGTCAGCTTGAAATTAGTTGATATCATGAAGGATTTCCTTCGGGCAATCAACGAATTCCATTGCCGAAAGTGCCCTCAACGAACCAAACCTTTTCATCAACTCTCTCATTTCAAGCGATAACACATAGTTTCTACTGCCATGCACTAAGACACGCTATGAAGCATAAGGAATGACGTTCGTGAGCTTTTCTGCTTTGATAGAGAACGATTCAAATTGGGGGACAAGCATTATCCTGGGAACGTTGAAGTTTGGTCATTGATGTGAAATGCTTTCATGTCACACCATCTTTCGCGGTCTGCAAGACAGAAATTTCATGGAATACTGCGCTCTACGTTGAAGGGAGTCAAAAGGAATTGAACTGATAACCGACTGTAGTATGTTCGGCCCTGGCTTACATCCTGAGTTCCAATCTCACCATATATCAGTAGCAATATGTAATATTCACTGCCTTCTAAAACCCAGGGTGATTGGCGGGTACCGGCTTCCAGACTTGCACGACGCAACAGATGGATTAGCCTCTTCCTGGGAGATGTTCGAGAAATAGGCCCACCAAATTTGCGGATGCACCATAAGAATGGAACTGCAGCGAGGCATCTCGATTTCGGCTATTGATTAACCTCTGGTTCTGCTTTGTTCACGATCCACGCGGTAAATATACAGCCTTAACTTCTACATGAATTAAGTTAGGTCAATTATCCAATGACCAGGCCGTACCTCTTTCGTTTGTTCACACCCACCCACGGTCGATGTTGGTGGCCTCATTCTGGTAATCATGTTTCTGCTGGCCAATGCCAGCCCCAATGGTCTTCCCATCATTGTGGCACCGAACATCTCATTGACACCGAAGTATTATCTAATTAGGTAGCTTGGGCTATTGTCCTGTAACCTAAAGGGCATAATCTAAGACTAACTCGAAACGACTATTTGATGATGGTTTCAGAAACGGACTTTGAACTGACAACATGATTTTGAACGCGAGTGTCACCTAACTTTTTCAGAGTAAGTAGCTCTTTCTTCGCTTTTCATCTCAGCTTTAATTACTGAATCAAAGGCATCAAGTTTCAACAGATCGACCCCGAGTTTCTTACAACTATCCAGCAAGTACCTGCCATCCTCTACGGGAACACCAGTCTCAATAACCGTGACCTTTGTACACTCAAAATCAAGGTCATCAAAAGCGACAACACTCGAGGGCTTCATGGTGGCTCTTGTGGAGGCGATCGACTGCAGCAGCTGCCCCTCGACGCACCATTCTTTCTGACTCTGATCTATCAGATGCTACTATCAACTATCAACTATCAACTATCAACTATCAACTATCAACTATCAACTATCAACTATCAACTATCAACTATCAACGCTCATTATTCGAGCGAAAGTGATGTCATCCACGACTACTTGCTTGATGATGAATACGAAACCTGTTCAAGCGTGTGGTGGGGAAGTCGACTTTCTAACGCCTAGCACAGCGAACGTATAACGAGGTCTTTAATCAGGCGCGCGTTACAGGACTCCAATTTAGCGTATAGTACAGTAAGTAGCCTGCCGAATTGCCCGGCCAGTACGCCGGCGGGCACTCGGCCCCGGGCCGGGTGCCCCACACAGGCAGGATAGCTGGGCTACACAGGCAATTTAACCCAACCTGGAACTCCTTTTCTAGGCCCGGGATTTCATAGCGGGATGCAAGATCTAGGGGTCGACACTGGCTGCGACTCAGATGTAAGTCCAACAAGGGAATCCATGCACACAAACCCTGTGAAAGAAAATGGTCTCACTATGTTTTAGGTTTTCGTCGCGGAACATTTGCAGAAGGTCTGCATTACGCCAGAATCATGCACTCCCTGTTTGTCGTAGCAATTGGCAACTGTGACGCCTTAAATATCCTTCTAATTGAGGACAGGCTTCAGTATGTAATCATGGCTCCAGACAACTAATTCCGAAGAGAGGGAAGATTGCTCAATAACACAGCAACCATAAGTGCTGTGGCTTGAACCCCGGCCGTTTCAACAAAATCCCAGCTGCTGGTGCAATACTTGACCACGGCGACGATATTAATCTCCTCCTTTGAGAATGAGACCTATGCGAAATCCCGGTCGAAAACAGGTCCTCTGTTATGCGAGGATGCCCCTATCATGGCTGAATACCTCGGCTCAGTGCCTCACCAGAAGGTACCCGGAGTGTTGTTCTTGGCGATTTTATTGGCTGATCTGATATTCCTTCAAGCAGCTTGAAGACTGTTTCAGCTAGCGGTTGGGTCCGCAGCAACTAGAGTGAGCCCGGATGCGATGATTTGCAGAGGTTGTCTGGGGACGCTGTTGGGGTACAATGGCATAGAAATGATTCCATCGAGGAGCGAGGTAGGGGAACCCGATGCGAAATCTTCTCTGAAATCTAGATCTCCATATACAAGGCTGAGTGACCCAGACCTTTCCGCAGACCAAATAGGTAGATAAATGTTACAATTGGTACTTGGCCTAGGCACCCCTCTCACAGCTCCTCTGCTAATCAGCCCTATTTTCTCCATCAAGCTACTTCGATGTATCGTCGAAACTCCCTGTGATGGTCAGCATCATCCCACAGCTTCAGAAAGATGTCTCACCAATCAGTGACTGCTTCCCTCCACACACGCAGCTCATGTTCTCTCGTAGCAGCAAAGAAATCCACAAAATCGTCCCCAAAAATCTCTCTGGCCAAACTATCAGGTGCCTTGAATCTGTGTGTTGCGTCGAGGAGGGAGTCAGGAAGCAACTCTGGCTTTGTGTCCTTGCGTTGGATCTTCGCGGGCGGGATGGGTATGTCCAGCTTCTTCATAACACCTCGCCAGCCCGCAGCCACGATCGCTGTCAGAGCGTAATGAGGATGCAGATCGGCTCCTGGGATGCGCACTTCAAATCTTGTCGCCGCTGGTTTGCATACCGGAGGCGCAATTAGCCGCAAACTGGCAAGACGGTCTTCGAGGCCCCAGCTGACATCTACGGGGGCCCAGTAGTTCTCCACCAAGCGCTTGTAAGAGTTGATCGACGGTGCTAAAAGAGGCATGATATCTGGCAGAGCTACGAGGATCCCGGCGAGGAAATATCGACCAACGTCAGATAGCTGTGCGATGTCTGGCCATGCGGCTGTTTGATCGGGGGGACCCGACCGAGCGAAGATGTTCTTTCCGTCTAGATTAGTTAGAGACACATGGATATGCCCAGAGTTGCCAGGCAGGCCTTGGGTTGGCTTGGCGAGAAAGCAAGGCGTCACGCCGTGTTCCAATCCGAGCGATTTGGTGATCAGTCTGTTGATATTAGTAGCAAGTTCGACAGCCTCAACATACGCTCGACTCACTTGAAAACAGAAACTTTGTCTGCCATCTCGTCGATCGGGCTGACCTTCAGAGCCTGAGAACGCGGATTGCAGTCAACATAAAATTCAAGAGCTGAACGTATCCACCAAATGATACGGAGCGACTTACAGCCTCGTAGACGCCGGGACCGCTCTCCGTGTGCCAGCCTTCTAAGCCGCAGTTTGCTCTCTTGTTGAAGCCGAATATGTCATGGAAGTACTTCTTCGAGGCTATCGGACGTGATGTGCTGTAGCCAAACATGCCGCCTGTAAGAGGCCGCAAGGCCGATGGTGTATTTTTCTCCAAGAACGTGGACAGGTTTTGTCTGCCATGTGGCGATCCATATCCGTCTTCTGACGGTGTCTGGAAGTTCATGAACTCGAGCTCCACTTCTCAACGTCAGTTCTGTGGCTGCCCCCTACTGTAGAAAAGCGTAAGGTCAATGGAACGTGCGAAGAGTTACGTACCTCCGGCAAGAGCTTTGCACTCTGCTTCTGCTAACTTGTCACATAGTTGACGAATCATGCTACGTGGGCAAGCGAAGACCGGCTTGCCACCCACAGCAAAGCTTAAAAGGAAGAAAGGGATATTAACCTCTGTGGGGAGTCTCCGGAAGGATGACAGGTCGGGGTGAGCAACAAAATCGGCAAATCCGTCTTCGCTTGTTGCGATCTTCGTCTCTGTCGTGAATAAAACATCGTGGATATCCCATGCAAAGATGGCAGAACTCATGCCGAATCCGCTGGAAATAGTGGACAAGAACTTCTCCTTATCCATGATCTTGCCTCGAAGGATACCGTCGGCATCAACTCCTGCGACCCTGACCTTTTCATCGTTTGCTAAAATAGCCTCGATGTTGTCCACGGTTGCGATAGTTCTGGCATGTGTGGCGCTTCGGAGGGTGCATAATGTGGCTTGTGACTGTTGCTCCATTGCTGTTGATGGGAAGAATATGGAGTGCAGAGGATGATGTCAAGGTGCAGTTGGAGATCAAGGGGGTGTTCTTGACTCTTTTCATCTGTCAAGGAGTAGAAAGGGGCCGGTAAAAAGTCTTCCTTCTGATCGAGCTTACATGGATGTCGCCTGCTCTATGGATCCAGACTCGCCGCCAAGTAACATTGGCTTGCAGACTGGAAGTTGTTGAAGTGACCGTTTCACCCGGCCGGCTATGATCCGACCCCGAAGCCCCGATGTCCGTTATGTGCGGGGGACCTGATGCGGGGCGATCGGGCGGCGCGGTCCGAGACCGCGATAGCGCGGTTTCCCATAGTACCATCGCGCTCATCACTCCATCATTGCTGAGCAGCACCATGTCTGGAGAGCGGTGAGATTGTGGTGAACCGTGAATACTGTCGGCCTTAGCGATGAACGTCCGTGATCGAATCGGAGACGGCAAACCTTGGCCCGATCGGGGCTCATGATACCGACAACATTCTCTTCTCGCGGCAACGGTCTGAAGATGCCCCTGCAGCTCGGTAACCACCGTTTCAGTCGATTTCACTCGCCTTCAATGATATGGCGAGGCTATGCATCCCGATAAGCTTTATATCAGGTCTTACAGGCCACAATGCATCAATTCCCAAAGTTACGGTGATGCTTACCATAAACTTCCGATAACCATTTTCTGTCCTGGGCATCACCAATTGTTCTCCCTCAGATTCGGGCCAAACTTCTTCCATCATGTCTAGCACTACCATTCAAACGATCTCTCCGTCGACCAACAAGGTTCTTCTCAACACTCCCAGTACGAGTCTCGAAGACGCGAAGTCCGTCGCCAAATCTTCTCAGGATGCCTTCCAAAAGTTCAAGCTGCTGTCTCTGGCGGAGAGAAAGGAGATGGTGATGCGAGGCCTGAAGCTCATCCAAGAACGCAAGCATGATCTTGGGCGCGAACTCAGTGGGCAAATGGGTCGCCCTATTGCGTACAGCCATGAGGAAATTGAGACGATGCAGAAGCGTGCCGACTATCTTCTCGACATCGCCGAAGAATCCTTGCGCGACATACCCGGTCGTCCCGAGGCAGGGTTCAAGAGATGGATCAAGAAGGTCCCAGTTGGCCCGACTCTCGTGGTATTCGCATGGAACGTATGTCAATATTCTATGAGCGGTCGAGAATTCCTGTGTATTTGGCCAAATTCCTTTCCAGTTCCCGTACCTCATCATCGTGAACGCGCTGGTTCCAGCACTCCTGGCTGGAAATACGGTCATCCTGAAGCGAGTCGCCGCAAACGCCTTTGATCGGCACACGGATCGCCGAGATATTTGCCGAAGCTGGTCTTCCTAAGAACGTCCTCCAGGTAGTCCAGTCCGGAGATCCTACTGTTCTCGACGAACTTGTGAAGATCCCCGAGATACAAGCGGTCAGCTTCACCGGCTCGATTGCGGGAGGGTTGGCTTTGCCTGAAGCCGCGGCTCGTCGCACGATACCTCTCAACCTTGAGCTTGGAGGGAATGATCCGGCATACGTGCGGCCCGACGCGGACTTGAAATATGTAGCAGCTCAGCTTGTGGACGGCGCTGTCTTCAATTCGGGTCAGAGCTGCTGCGCTGTGGAGCGGATTTACGTGCATAAAGACATCCATGATGCTTTTGTCCAAGAGCTGCAAGATGAGTTGAAGATGTAAGTCTGGTAGAGAATCTTACTGGTGCATCCCCGCTGACGAAACCCAGGTGTAAACTCGGCGATCCGCTTGATGCGTCAACTAACGTTGGGCCGGTCATTTCACGAGCGGCCCAAAAGTCGATTGAACAACAAGTGGAATATGCACTCAGCAAGGGCGCCCGTGATGTCACGCCGTCCAATGCCACATTTGAGAACCCTTCCGCTGGCGGCAACTATGTGATCCCGCGGATTCTCACAGGCGTCACACATGACATGATAGTCGCAAAGGAAGAGACTTTTGGCCCAATCATCCCTGTGATATGTGTCCAGAACGACGATGAGGCAATTCAACTCATGAATGACACGGAATATGGCCTGACTGTCAGCGTTTGGACCACAGATATCCCTCGTGGAGAGGAGATGATTGAGAGTCTCGAGGCTGGCACTGTGTTTGTCAATCGTTGCGATTACCCCAATCCAGTAGGTTCCAAATCCGTGGGATTGGAAACAAGCTGCTAACGTTCGCGGCAGGATCTTGCTTGGACTGGCTGGAAGAATTCGGGGCTTGGATGCACTTTGGGGCCGAAGGGATTTGATTTCTTCGTCAAGTTGAAAAGTTATCATGTCAAGCAGCAGCAAGCTCAGGAGCTAGATGTAACATGGGGTTCTTTCATAGGTGGTCTTCAGCTTTAGATCTCTGCACCGCTCAAATGACGAAACTTTGTCCCGGCCTAAAGCCAAATCCTCAAGCTTCAGTCAGCATCATTGACGATCATCTAGAAATGTGCCCGAATATGGGTCTTGATCATAAGATATTCTCCTAATGGATAATGATACGGCGACTCGCGGATAGAATAATGTTTGCGTCAAGGTCAATGTGAATCAGGTAGGCAAGGCACAGTCAGCTTATCCAATACTATGACCCTGACATCACTAAACATATGAGGTCTTGTGTGTTCGGCATTAATGTGCAGCGCGGTCTCCTGTTAAGGAACGGAAGTTCGGGACGACCGCGGTCCGGAACCCCCACGTTGGCATCGGAGCCATCTGATAAGCATACACATCCCAACACCCCAGTAGTCGGAGCTTTGATCGGGAAGCCGCCGATGGCGTTCGAAGAACCCGCGCAAGGGGCATGGGCTTGGGATTCTGCACATCCACCAGAAAGCAGCTTCGTCACGGCCGGAGGTATTCAGATGCGATCAATCTGAAGGGCATAAGCTACATAAAGGCCTGATAAGAATGCTTTTTATCAGTGAGAGCTCACTAGACGTCAACCCGCCGGAGATAGCTTGAGACCCCGTTTTCTTTTCAGCCCTCAGCGTTTTCAACTCCAATCTGCCCAGTCTTATAGGAATCACAGGACCATGTCAGGCAGACTCGAAGGGAAGAATATTATAGTTACGGGTGCCGCTGGGTGTGTCACATTTCTCCCATCGTCTTTCTGCTCCTGGTAACACCAACTGACAAGTGCATGACAGCGGCATTGGCCTCGAAGCCTCGATTCTCATGCACAAGGAGGGTGCTTCGGTCCTGATGACCGACATCAACCAGGCAGTCTTGAATAAGGCCCTCGCTCGTGTCAAGGAGCTTGTACCCAACGCCAGAGGACGTCTTGAATCACTCGTTGTTGACGTGTCGACGGAGTCTGAGGTAGAGACAGCCGTCGCTCACTTGGACAGCTGGGGTGGCCTGGACGTCATCTTCAATAACGCAGGCATCATGCATCCGAAAGATGGTGACGCCGAAGAGTGTCCTGCCGACATCTGGGACAAGACGTTTGACATCAACGTTAAGGGAGTCTGGTACGGAAGCAAATACGCCGTCAGATCTCTGCGTAAGCATGGCAAGAAGAAGGGCAGCATCATCAACACTGCCAGCATTGTCTCTATTGTCGGATCCGCAACTCCTCAGGTGGCATACACTGCCAGTAAGGGTGCTGTTATGGCTTTCACAAGAGACATGGCGATTGTGCACGCTAGAGAGGGTGAGTACTGCGACCCCTGCACCATGTGATGCTGTGGCCAGCTAATGGTATCCCTATCCACAGGCTTCCGCTTTAATACCATCTGCCCAGCACCTCTGAAGTAAGCATTATTACACGAATACCTCAGCTGTTTGGTTGCTATTCTAACACGACACAGTACTCCGATGCTTCAGGACTTTCTGGGTGACGACAAAGAGAAGCGGTTCAGACGAGAGGTTCACATCCCAACGGGCCGATTCGGAGAAGCTATCGAGCAAGCACAAGCTGCTGTTTTCCTCGCCAGCGACGAGAGTAGCTTTGTCAACGCTCATGACCTGGTTGTGGATGGTGGACTCACGAAGGCCTACGTGACACCCGATGGACCTCCCACCGAGCCCCCTCAGAACTTGGGCAAGCAATAGGAGAGTTCACCGTGGTCAGGTCTGTCATTTGTGCGATGGACACGTTGATGATAACACCAGAGAGCAAATCCAGAAAGCTTCAGCTCCGATACTAGCTCCTGGGGCTGAAGAGTCTGGATGTTACGGACGTACGTGATGTAGTCTCGAATGGTAGGCTAATTCCAGGTGCGCTTGGTGTTCAACATAAGCGTTGACATTAGGTTGAAGCTTTCCACGTGGATGAAATGAGGCTATGAGCGTTGATCGGTCGAGCCGACTTTATGCTGTCTTAAACTCAGCCTCGATCAACGCTAATCGACGTGGCACGCGCTGTTCGAACTCCCCGCCGTTGGGTCTCCCGACGAGCATGACCTGGCTCTCAATTAGCCTAGCCGCGTGACATAGCGTGCCGGAAACCGCTCGAGGGCCAGAATCTCAATCTGCTTGTTGTCCTGGGGTGAACCCCTCTGCGGCATTATTGTGTCCCGAGAACACCGTGCTAAATATCTTGTACACCGAGACTCGAGACTCGAAACCCGACGGGTAGTTGCATATATCACAGGCACTACTGACGCGTCAAGTGCGTGCCCACGCCGAGGATGGTCGGGTTAAACTAGACAGTGATCTAATTACTAATACTGTGACCAAGGGCAAAATGCTGCCCGTGGATAGCACCCCTCCAGGGCCAATAGCAGCAATTCGTAGAGTGTGACACTCCAGTGCATCTTCTTGGCTGAATTCTCCTCTCTGATTCGGTTGATTTGCGAGTCAGTGTGGCTCCAAATGGGCTAGAAGAGTAAGCTGTGCCCCAGTGCTACGTCAAACCAATGATTCGAGGCTGGATATTTACGTTCCTCGCTGTGGCTCGAAGATATTGAGCGATGAGACATCCAATCAACAGCCCTGGTCAAGCGACTTTGCACCAATCCCCATGCAGCTGAAGGCGGGCATCCACTGGCATGCGTCTTACACACCACCTCAGGACGATTACATACTCACTGGCTCACGCACACTGGATGAAAAATAGGGACTTGTGAACGTGATGTCCGGGCGGAGTAAAAACCCTGAAGACGGCAGTGTGGCATCTGTGATGAAGCGTCAGTCCTCACGTCTTTTGAGCGATCAGAGGACGGAATCCTGCCGTCCGGCCTGCGCGCATGTAATAGTGTCTTGGAAAGACCCACTTCAACACAGCCGGGCATATCCATGATGCATGCATGGGGAGTTCCAGGCTGGCCAGGCTGCAGCTTTTGCGTTTCTGCACGCCCATAGGGCGAACTGGTACGAGTCCCAAAAGAGGAAGCCCATTTCCCCAGCGGAGATGGAACTTGTCCGCTGAAGCATGGGATGTTTCCGTGTCGCATGTTCTGGAAGCAGATGAAATGGCTATGTCTTACTATTAAATGTCAGCTGTCCCACATCCTTGTGAAACGAAATGTCGCCTGAAAGGTTCGCCGGACTGGGTGCGATGTTAGCATTTAAGATAGAATGATTACTGGGCGAAGATAGTCTTTCGGTTCGTGATACGGGGAGTCCCCCCTTGCGTCTAGCTCGAGGAACGAAGTGTTGTGTGTATGCCTTGCTTCCATCCCACCCCCTTGATGCAGGTCTTGATCTGCAGAGCCCATCTGCCATCACCCGCACGGCGCAGTCGGCTACACCCACAATCCTTCGATTCAGCCCGTCATCTTATAGCTCGAGACATGATACTGATACTCCACTGTCGTGACATCGGTCCCTCCATCTTGGGATTTGGGTTACAGAAGCTCTAGGGAAAACTGGACGTTCTAATCTGGGATGCACACGACCATCTACCCCAGCCGCGGCCAAATTTTACTCAAGTGCATGATCACAAAGATCCATTTTACTGAGATGCATGCACCGCGCCTAACACTGTTTAATATTTACGAGAGGAGGCTACACAACCTGACAGGGAAGTGAGGATGCATCTTGAATTACTGTATGGAAACTTCAATACCGGTCTCTCTCATTCAGCCAACCATGACATGATACGTTTTGGAAAAGGCGTGACCGAGTCACTTGCTACAGACACAATCGGCCCCCGATGGCCCGGTTCGTCCTACGATGCAACCCCTCAGGCAGTGAATTTGGTTCTTTTGAGCAGTGAAGGGGGTGAAGACATTTTACGAGCTACCTAGGTATGCAACATCTGCCGCCGAAGGCGTTCGGACGATTAGCGGAAGGATTCCCCTCTGGCATGCAGCTAAAGCCGTGTTGCCACCTCATATCGTTCTTCATATAATCTGGAGGATCTTGAGCACCCAATTGCGCGGGTTCTCCCTTGACTCCCTACTCTACTCAGTACCCGTTCTTTCCTGTTCGGTGCGATTTCTCACCTCACATTCTCTCCTCACACAGACACTCCTTAACGCATCTCATCCAGTATGGAAAGCATCACAGACGCTTACCCTGAGTACAGCCAGACTTCACGGCTAGATGAAGTGCGGGCGACCGAATATGGCTACCTCGACGAGCAGGGCCACATCTATCTTGACTTCACCGGCGCTGGGCTGGCTGCAAAGTCCCAAATTCGAGCACACGAGAAACGGCTAGGGCAAACACTCTTCGGCAATCCCCACTCAACGAACCCTACAAGCCAGTCTGCCACGCGACTGATCGAAGATGCCAGAGCTCGGGTGCTGGACTACCTCAACGCCTCGCCCAAAGAATACACCGCCATATTCACTCCGAATGCAACCGGCGCCGCACGTCTCATCGCAGAATCATACCCTTTCAAGAGAGGAACACGACTGGTGTTGACGTCCGATAATCACAACTCCGTCAACGGCCTCCGAGAATTCGCCGGCCGAAACCACGCGCGAACGGTCTACGTGCCGGTCCGAGCCCCGGAGCTGCGGGTCGACCCGTCGGACCTCATGTCAGCACTCAGCCGTCGCAAGGGAGGCTTTTTCTCGTGTGGATCGGCACGCACGCGGCGCAGTGGCTTGTTTGCCTATCCAGCCCAGAGCAACTTCAGTGGCGTTCGACATCCGCTCTCCTGGGTTCAGGTCGCACAGGAACAGGGATATGACGTACTACTGGATGCCGCGGCGTATTTGCCGACGTCCCGACTCAATCTATCAGATACCGGCGTCAAGCCAGATTTTGTGATTGTCAGCTGGTACAAGCTGTTTGGGTACCCCACCGGCGTTGGCTGTCTCATCGTCCGACGCGATGCATTGGCTCGGCTGGCCAACTCGCGGCCTTGGTTTTCCGGCGGCACAATCACTGCTGCGACTGTTGGTGTTCCTTGGCACACCATTGCCCCTGACGAAGCAGGCTTTGAGGATGGTACCCTGAACTTC